CTTTGGGCCAAGACATATTGTTGCAGCCTCTGTACTACTGTATTAAGGGCTTGCAGTTGTTTCAATTTGACAGTATCTGCCACTGGTCCAGTGTTCTGGACATTCGGCCTGAGTAAGTTAGGGACTCTGCCATATAATAATTCAAATGGTGACACAAGCAATCCTCTTTGTGAGGCACACCGTACTGCAACAAGAGCCAAGTTTAAAGCGTCTGGCCACTTAAGCTAGGTTTCCTGACATATTTTTGCCAATTTTTCCTTAATGGTTCTATCCATTCCTTCCACCTGTCCCCCCCGATTGAGCATGGAAACTACAGTGAAGTTTCCATGTTACTCCTAACATAGTTGCTATGGATAAATTCAGGACCATTGTTTGACGAAATTCTAGATGGCAACCCATACTGGGGAATAATAATGTGAAGCAAGGCTTTTGCGACCTCTGTTGCTTTCTTTGTCCTTGTAGGGATGCACTCTGGCCATCCAGTGTATGTACATACATTGCTCTATAGCAGTGGTTCTCAACCTTTTTAATGCCGCGACCCCCAACCGGTCGTAAGTCGAGAATTAAACCGGTCGTAAGTCGAGGACTAAACCGGTTGTAAGTCGAGGACTAAACCGGTCGTAAGTTGAGGACTACCCAACTGGTCGTAAGTTGAGGACTTTCCCTGCCCGGGAGCGCCGCGCATGCGTGGTTCCGCCCCCTGTGCCGGCCGAGGCGTAGCTGGCAAGCGGCAGAGACGGAGCAGGCCGACCACCAGCTGGCCCAGCCCAAGGGAGGTAAGGCACCCGCCGGAAAAGGGGAAAAAAATGGCGGACAGCCTTGCTTGGCGACCCCCGTGAAATGGTTGATCGACCCCAAATGGGGTCGCGACCCATAGGTTGAGAACCGCTGCTCTATAGGGACCTGAACGTGGCATGTCAGTAAAGTCAATCATCAGAGAATCAAAGGGGTAAGTTCCCCTGGGTTGGTGTCCTTGAGGCAGTTGGGGTCCTTGCCTTGAGTTGTTGGCTGCACAAATCTCACACCTAGCACAAACATTTGCTGCAATGCTGTGTATTTTATCAATATAGACCTCCCATTTCAGGGCATTTGCTAACGCCATCTTCCCTAGGTGCAGTTGCCTATGGGCCTGTTGTACTGTATCCCATGCCATATATCCTGGGATAAAGACTCACTGGTCTGGCAGGATCCACCAGCCATCTTCCCGGCGTGCTTCAAGCGCCTTAATTTGCTTTAGGTCTTCCTGGGAATAGTCTGGCAGCCTTAAACTAGGGGTGCGCATTAGAGCCTCCTTGAGAGGGGTGAAGCTGTTATTTTCTTGCTGTTCCCATCGCAACGGTTCTTTATCTCCTCCCTTTGTGGCCTCATACAGGAGTTTTGCTATTAAACTAAAGTTAGGGATCCCTATTCGGCAGAAGCCAGCAGCACCCAAAAATCCTCTTAACTCTTTGCTATTCTTCGGTACAGGCAGCTGGCAGATAGCTCCTTTCCTTTCATGTCCGAGAGTTCTCTTTCCTTCCTCTATGTCAGTGGTTCTCAACCTTTTTAATGCTGCAACCCCCAATCCACTTAATACCATAGTCCTGGGTCCCATAAGCAGAACTAAAGTGCTTTAACATACACCCTAACGGAGTGAGGG